GAAGGAAAGCAGCGCGTGTTCAGCGGGGGCGGGACGGACGGGGGTGGAGTGACAGCTCGGGTGACCAATGGAGAGCGAGGATGGGCGGCGGCTCTGGCCAATGGCGAGCGCGGAACACGATGTCATGTTCCCAGGGTGGGGGGGGGAACGGGGGTGTTGTTCCCAGTTTGGGACAGGCCGCGTTGTACTGGGAGCACTGGGAGCGGCCCTGAGGGGCCCTGAGGGGTGGAGAGCCTTCACCTCCTTCCACAGAATCCTACCCCCAACCCAGGGTGTGAGAAATGAAATCTGGGGGCGCCTCCATTGCCCTCCCTCAGCCCCCCCAGTGAACTCTCCCCTATTAATTTGGGTTAATTAGGGCGGATTTGGGGTACGGATGAAACTGGGGCGGACTCATCTGGGCAGGATTTTCCCTTTTCTGCTGCTTCCATTCCCTGGAATCCCTCAGCTGCTTCTGAGGGGTTCCCTCAGCCCCCTGAGTGGTATTTTCACCCCCCCCCTGCACATATTCCCCTCCATGATTTGGGGTAAATAAGGGAGAATTTGGGGGTTCAGCATCAAATTTGGGGTTCCCAAATTTGGGGGATTTGAATTTGGGCTTCCCTCCCTGTTCCTGGTGTGTTTCTGGGACTGTTCTCACCACCTCGGTGGTATTTTCACCACCCCCCTGCACACACTCCCTCCCCTCTGTTATTTGGGGTAAATAAGGCTGAGTTTGGGGGTTTCAGCATCAAAATCTGAATTTGGGGGATCCCTCCATGCCCCCGATGTGTTTCTGACACTCCCCCCCATGACTTGGGATAAGTAAAGGTGAATTTGGGGGTTCCCTCCCTGTTCCTGGTGTATTTCTGGGAGTGTTTTTTGCTTCCCACTCAGCTTGGGGACACTTTTTCCCAAAAAAATCCCTCCCAAACATCGACCCAAGCTGCAACAAACACCCAAATCCATCCCATAACCCCTGGCCTTGTTTTCCAGCAGGGATTTGAGCACTAAAACAGAATTTCTCCTCCCCTCCAACCCCTCCAAGACAGACTTTGACTTCCAAGAAACCATCAGATTTCCCTCCCTGCACCAGCATTACTCCACGGCAAGAATTTGCTTTTTTCCCCCCAATTTTGGTGCTTTCCCAGCTCAGGAAAATCCAGAGGAAGAAGAACAATGTGCAGAGAGCCCTGGCCCTGTTTTCCAGCAGGGATTTGAGCACTAAAACAGAATTTCTCCTTTCCAACCCCTTCAAAGGAAATTTTATTTTCTGAGAAACTATCAGATTTCCCTCCCTACACCAGATTTGCCCACTCCAGGACACGAATTTTTGCTCTTTTCCTCTTTTTTCCCCCAGTTTTTGGTGCTTTCCCACCTCAGGAAAATCCAGAGGAAGGAGGAGAGCAATGTCCATGGAGCTCTGGCCTGGTTTTGAGCACTAAAACAGAATTTCTCCTCCTTTCCAACCCCTCCAAAGGAAACTTTGGTTTTTGAGAAACTGTCAGATTTCCCTCCCTACACCAGCATTACTCCACGACAAGAATTTGCTATTTTTCCTCTTTTATTTCCCCCAGTTTTTGGTGCTTTCCCACCTCAGGAAAATGCAGAGGAACGAGTACAATGTCCATGGAGCCCTGGCCCTGTTTTAAGCACTAAAACAGAATTTCTCCTCCTTCCCAACCCCTCCAAAGGAGACTTTGGTTTCTGAGAAACCATCACAATTCTCTCCCATGAACATTGCTCACTCTAGGACAGGAATTTTGATCTTTTTCCTCTTTTATTTCCCCCAGTTTTGGTGCTTTCCCACCTCAGGAAAATGCAGAGGAATTACAATGTCCATGGAGCCCTGGCCCTGTTTTCCAGCAGGGATTTGAGCAGTAAATCAGAATTTCACATTCAGCATTACTCCACTCCAACAATTTCCTCTTTTCCTCTTTATTTTTTTTGCCCGGTTTTGGTCCTTTCCCAGCTCAGGAGGGAGAACAATGTCCATGGGGCGAGCCAGCGGTGGAAATGGGAGTGGCGGCCATTTCCAGGGAGGCTCGGTTGGGTTTCTGTTGTTTTTGTTGGGAGTTGTCCTTCAGGGTTGTTTGTCCCGCTGCTCCTGGCGCTGTTCCTGCCCTTCTTCCCCCCGGAGTTAATTCACACCTGATCGTATAAACCGATAAAGCTCCGGATAAACCCCGGGGCACAAACTGCCCTCCTGCCAAGCCACAGGACACAATTCCACCTTGAGAGGGAATTAATTATTCCTTGCTTGGTGCACAATGGAGGAAAT